GTCGCGCAGGCGGCAGAGCGCTTACAGCAGGCCCAGAACACATTCATCACAGATCAGGACTTGTTGACGGGTGCTGCCGGTCTTATGTTGACGTTGGCGTCAAAAATCAACCGTGAATTGAGGCAGGATCAACCGGGTGATGCACGAGGATTTGGGTATTGGAACGGTCTACGGAAGGGATTGGATGCTGCTGTTAAGGGACTGGCAAAAACATGAATAGTGATTATTTCAGAACGCTAAAAGGCGATCGTAATGTTAGACGAGTAACATATGTCCTGGCTTGTTGTTGATTCGCGTCAGTGTTGGCCATGATCAAAGTGGCGATCATTCCGCGCGCATGGCATTCATGCATCATTTAATCTGCGAGAAATGGATGAAAATCGATATGTTCACTGGCCACCTCGGGCGCTAACGAGTATTATTTTAGGTTCACTCTGTCGGCGGGGTGAGTGGCCGACCGCGAAAATCAAGTGCACCGCCACGAATGATGGATTGTTCCTCCGAAACGCGCGACGAGAGGACGAGGAGGAATTACAGATGAGAGCAGCGGGGGCGGATAAGGTGGAAGCAAACGTTAGAAGGACACGACGAAGAACCTCTCAGCGGGACATGGGCGAGATCGGAACGCACGGCCACGAGTGTGGTGCTACATATGGATGGTATGAAACGCGACTTCTTGGATGTCAGATCTCTGTCCACATGTCACAAGGAAAGTCAAGGATGAAACGAGGCTCGCAAAGAGTTCAAATAAATACATTGATAAATATAATTGGGATACTAGTACATGTAACTCTGCGTCAACGTCGTTCAAACATCGCCAGTCTCCGCAGTCTCAGCTCTGACGGTTTATGAGTCAGCCAGATAATTTCTAAAGTGCGACGACCTACTCTGCGTGGGCGCTCTTGAGTATGTCGGCATCCCTGCCATATTTGAGTAAATAAACGGTGTCTCCGCAGGCGGAAGCGTACTCCTCGGTGTCAACATAATCTTTGAAGAAGATTTGGCGCCGTAACCGGTTGGCGGTGGAAACATCAGCGACGGCATGACGTTCGTGCCCGCTTTGGGATATGGCTGCGGTGGACGTTAGAATCCAAATCGGATTGTCAGAATGGTGGCGAACCGATTGGAGTTGCGCAGACTGTCTAATGAGTTAGTTGGGAGGCCCGGTCGGGATTGATCCTACGCACCCAGCATGCAGGCGGACAAGGCAGAGATAACGACGATACGACGCCAAAGGAATCCAACCATTTCGTCTTGTGTAGGGCCTGAGTGGGGCAGAGTAGAGAGTAGATGTAGATGAAGGTATCAGAACATCTCATCTCTTTATAAGTAAAACAGAGGTCCCCGTCCCACTGGGCTGAGCACAACAGGTTGTCGCCCTGTATTGATGGGAATCGAGACGCTGTGGGGATCAAGATGACTCGTCGGAGCCATTAATTTTTAGTTTTGCAATGCCCATACCCAGAAGTACCTCGCCTCATCTCTTGGCCATCGTCCGTCATCAAATTGTTGAAGATATATGTCAAGGTCTTGTCCCACACAACACAATGGCGTTGATTCGCGGAATCATCACCGGTCAATTCTGAGCGCGGCTGTCAAACGGACTCATGTAAGGTCATACTAGGAGAAGTATACACCGTTGGCATTGTTGATAGAGGATATATTCCACAGGGAAAAATAGAGGCGATGCTAGTTGCAATGCGGTAGCCAACATTGTCTCTCGTAGAAACATCCCTCAACACTGAGCTCATAGCTCAATTTGTTGATTATTCAACCCACGGCGTGCAAGGTTATAACCCACGCCCGCCGCCCGGCCTCGTGCTAGATGAATCAAAGCACCGGAGAGCCACCTTGGATCATGCCCGTCATTATTCCCGCAGACCCCGTTTTGACTCACTTGAAATTAGCTTGTATTCGTTTCTAAGCGGGACCGGGACCGGCCGTGTAATCCTGTGTAATCCTGTGTAATTCTATGCACCGCCATGGAAGCCCTGCCACTGGAGCATTGCCATCATATCAACTGCATTCGTTTATTGTTACAAGTTGCAGCTATTTTGGGCCGCTGGTGGAAACCCGACGGACAGTTTTGTTTTGGTTCACTGTACCAGATCGGCATCGCAACAGCCATCGGCAACATCACTGATCCGCGATTAGCGCCTGCAAAGTTCAAGCTCCGCAGGTGACTCACCTTTTTTTCACCGACCACGGTGGGTCCAGCTTTGCCCTCCAACTCCACGTAGAAGCCCAGTTCGTACGTAGTGCAGGGGTAGTTCATCGGTTATCGATCCTATGTAAGCCTCTAGCTTCTTTGTGTGCTTGAATTGTTGACGGGCTTCCTGTCGACTCTCGAGCATCGTCGGTGACAGAGCTTGATAGAAAGACGTTTTCGTCTTCGCTGGGTTGCGGGGAAAACCTAAGCTAGGTGCGGAGCGATCCGAGACTCCGAGAGAGGATAACGCTGTACAGAACTTTCAGGAGCGAAGTGCGTGATCGGACTTGGCGCTCGGGGACGCCCGAGGTAAACGTGGATCCAGCCTGCGCGGGAGCGCTCGAGAAGCATGCGGTTGTGGTGGGCATTTCGGCGTTCAGAAACGACACTAAGGGGGTGTTGAAGCCAAATTTCAACACGTTTCGGATCCTGGTCACGACGCCGGACGCAAACGGCAACACCAGATTCTGCGGCGTGGTATATTTCTTGGGCTACTGCCTGGGTGAGTCCCGACTGGTAATTTATTGGTGGATGACGCACGGGACTCCTGACGACTCGCAGTGAATGTGCGGCCAGGAACAGACTCCTTGGGCTCTGTAACAGCCATGTGCGCACCGCGATCCCGTAGATGATCAAGTGATGCATACCTTTTTCTACGCACCTCACGGCACATTCCCAGTTCGGATGCCCCGCTGGATTAGATTTGGGCGGCCTCGATACGGCAGACCGGCGCAGGACCGGCGCAAAACGAGAGAAAAAACAGAGGCTAAGACTGGGAAGGAGAACGCGCCTCAAGACTCTGAGTATGTGACGCCGCCTGTGGTCTTGCCTGAGTATATTTGACGCAAACTGCGTTGACCGTAAAAGCAGGATGGTCAGTTTAAATTAAGGATAGCGAGATCTGCAGGGGTTTGGTGCGGGCCTTATTCGTAGCACGGGCGAGATTGCCTGAGATGCGCATCGTCAGTATTCCAGTTGTTGGATTTATGCGAGATCAATTATGAGTTCGGTGCGTTCCGATAGCGAGTGGAGGCGCCAAATTAGATGATGCAGCAGAGTTATGGAAGGCGAGGAAGGCCACTTGCTTGGGTTGCAGCACCGGATGTAATTTACAGCTGAATTTGTACAGTGTTGAATCTCCCGCATCTGCGGGCTACAATCGGGATTGTCGAATACCAAAACGATGGCCTGTGAAAGTCAGAAAAAGAGGGTACGAGAGGCCCAATGACTCGACCCCGAGTAGAAAGGGGGATTTCTGAAAGAACCGATCTGAAGAACTAGTCATCCGCCACAGACCCGAGCTGTATTGATGACGGCGAGTACCCGTGTTGTGTTTGGCCCTATACGAACATTGGGGCGGGATTCGAAGCCCAGGGAGGAAGATCTCATCCGAGTTCTTCAAGAACGCGGGCGCTTCTGGTACTAAGCCCGTGAAAGGAGTGGAAATCAGACACAAATTGGAACAGAGAGGATGGCTCACTAGGCCCTTCGATGCCGAGGCGCAACCTTCGCAATCGAGCCGAGGTGGAGATCGAAACTCCAGTAGGTGCGTAGGTGAGTGTCCATCCGGGATATTACATACATTTCTTGAGATTCCTCTGCATCACAAATTGGGGGGGCAGGGTTCTGGTGTACTAGTAATAGGAAGAGCCGGGTGCGCGTTACTGGCTGTAAGCCTGTCTACAGAAGGCAAAAGATTAAAACAAGGAGGCAAGACAAGATCGATCTCCGCAATATGGCTCGACCCAGAGTCGAGCGGAGGGAGGTTCTGCCGGGATGTTTACAAATTGTTACACGGTGCGGTTGCGGACCATCCGCTATCGGGTCGTACAGGTGGGTATCGGAACCTCGCTAGCTGGGCATCTTTTCCGTAAGACCAAATTCGTTTAATACAAGAGTTGAGCAAGGTTGTAATGGAACTGACAGACCGAGAAAACTTCGAACGGGGGTGGTCTGCAAAATAAACTTCAACCGTGGACACAGTGCAGAAGCAGACCGTCCGCTATCGAGCCGTACGTGCTGGTATCGGAATCTCCGTAGGTGCGCTCCGAGTGTGCGCGCCGTCCAATATATGAAAGGAGTTAGACGGGCTGCGACGGTCGGCTCGAAACGGAAACCTTATCAGGGGAGGAGGGTGGGCGGAACGAGATATTACTAGGGGCCTGCGGGACTTCGTGGTCCGTGGAGGAAAATCAAAAGTGAGCTAGGACAGGTGAAAAAGTCAAAACTGCAGAGAAAGTAGGGACAGGGCTCGACCCCAAGTCGAACGGGGAGCGTCTGCACGGAATTACCATCCTGTTTCATAACGTGGCGCAGAGGGACCGTCCGCTATCGAGCCGTAAGGGTGGCTAGCAGAGCCTCGCTAGGTGCGCCTCTTCCCAATGACATTGCTGCTTCGAAACTTGTTCGGATCGTAAATGGACTTCAATGGGTGGCGGAGGACAAGAGCTGCGCGGGTGGGATGCAACGGGAAGAGAATTTGAAGGGAAGGTATGCACAAGGGAGGATCGTCTGCTCGGAGCTTCGCGTGAACCAGTGACAAATTAAAACAAGGAGGCAAGAAAAGAGATCGAATTCGGAATCACGCCCCCATGGCTCGAGCCCGAGTCGAGCGGGAATTTCCGCAGTACTTGCTCTGCGCCAATGATGCAGTGCAGATACGGACCGTCCGCAATGGAGCCGTACGGATGGGGACAGGAACGTGGTTAGATGGGCCTGTAAATTGCAACGTAACCGGGAGGAGAACGCGAATAAGAGAGGAGAGGGACAAAAATATCGTTCGCCCAAGGAATGGCTCGACCCCGAGTCGAACGGGGGTTTCCGCAGTATGTACTTGCCAGTATGCAGTGCGGATGCGGACCGTCCGCCATCGAGCCGCGGCCGTATGTGTGTTTATTCGAGCTTGAGCTTGGCTATTGGTTGGTGGCATGGGATACGTCTCGATTGCAGGCTGCCCTCGACGAGCAGTGTAGGAGCAAAGTATCAATCGAATAAGAAATAATCCCCTGCGCCACGAAAGAGGGTAGCTGCCGCAACACGAAAAAAAAACTGCCTACTCCCATGGCCACATGTAAGCATTCGAGTGCGCCGCGCTGACTCTGATGTATCTTGTCTGGGTCCTGATCGGAGACGCGGAGCTCAAAGAGCGAAGAACGTCCGAAATTCGCTCGGAGTAAGAGTACGCAGGTAAAAAGAAAAAGTGAAACGACTCACAATTGCCACGACTCGACCCCGAGTCGAACGGAAGCGTCTGCAGGACCGGAAGTATACTGGACGTATGTAGTGCAGCCGCAGACCGTCCGCTATCGAGCCGTACAGGGAGGTATCGGAACCTCACTAGGTAAGCGTCTTCCCGAGCATATTTGCATGCATGTATCGTGAGCCTCATCGCGTCGCAGGTTGAGAGACTGTACAAGAGCGTAAGCGGAGAGGACGGGCACGGGCAGCCTGATCCCGAAAACTTTTGAGGGAACGCAAGCTGTCGAACGCATATGCATTTTACTGAGGCACGCGTATAGCACAGATAAAAAACGCGCTGTCTGAATACATGCATGGCCCGACGCCGAACCGAACGGGAGCGTCTGCAACACCGTTATGTAGGCCCGAGCTAAATAGCGCAGTCGCAGACCGTTCCCTATCGAGCCGTATCTGCGGATATTTGGACTCCGGTGGAATGGCATGCCTGTGTCGAGAACCCGATCGCAAACTGAGCTCGGTGGGGAGTTGCGCGGGAGCGACGGGCAACAATCGCGTTTTCCGCAGGCCGTAGAGAGGAAGTAGTCATCTTCTCAGCAGCGGGCGAATGAGACAACAAGAAATGAAAAAAGCCAGAAGTGTAGCATGGCTCGACCCCGGGTCGAATGGGGAGATTCCGCGCGAACTCACGTGTCCTTCGGAGCACATTCGGGGCAGAGGCGGACCGTCCGCCATCGAACCGCAGGGGTGGCGTATGCGGGGGCGTTCACGGATGAAGCGTCATGGCCCGATATGGCCGGCCGCAGACGCTCTCAGGCTCGTCCGAGACGCAGCGAACTAGCAGGGCCCAATGACGCCGAGCGAAATGGGGCGTGCGGGATCAGGTAGACGCACGAAAAGCTCGGAGTCCTGGAAGATGAGGCACGAAGCACGAAGAACAGGTAATATATTGCGCGCGGACAATTTTTCTACACCATCTATTAGCTATCGAAGATACCGAGTCAGCCACGGAATGGGGTAAAAGGGAGGCAGACGCACCCCCCGGTCCGCGTGTACCGGCGTGCGTGTGCTTAGCGCAGCTTCGAGAAGACCTGGGGCGCAGCACACTTCTCCGAGCAGTGCATCATGCTGCCCGCAGACGCATTAGCTCGTCTTCAAACCGCAAGAAAGAAAGGAGGGACGTACTGGAACATTTCCTCGACACACTCCTCGCCCTTGAAGCCCTGCCCCGCCTGCACCTTCTCCTGGCACTTCTCAAAGTGGTGCTTCATTGGCGCGCACTCGGCGCGCGCCTCGCACTCTGCGCGGATCGCGGGGTGGGGCTGTATGCGCTCGTCAGCTCAGCTGTCCTATAGCTCAAACGGAAACGAAAAAACAAGCAAAAAAAGATAGAATGAAGGAAAGAAGACGCACGTCCTCCGGCTCCTCCTCCTCCTCAGCCTCCTCCTCCTTGGGCTCTTCCGCGCTGGCGTCCTCCGCGGGGGCTTCTGTCTCTGTCGCGGGCTTCTCCTCGGGGGAGTCTGCGTGGATTGTGGGCAGGAACGACGAGAGGAAGGAGCCGATGCCGGACATGCTGGAGTGGTAAGGTGTGAGGTGGTGCGTGTGATGCGTAACACGGAATGATGGATTGTGACCCGCGTTGATCCGAGCACCAGTTGCTCCCGACGCCCACGTTGTTCGCGCACTCCAACGCATCCACCAGCCGTCTCGTTCGCTTCGCTGTTGGAATTTATTTCCCCTCTATCCAAGCGCCTATATTCTTTGTTCTCTGTAACTCTCCGAACGCCGAAGACAGTCTGTGCCAAGTCTGTGCAAAGTTCAAACCTGTCACCCGAGCCGACGATGCTCCAGAGTCGCAACCCTTCAATAATTCAAGCACCCAACGACCCTAAACTCCAGGATTATATCGTTTCCACCGCACCTACCCTATCTGGCTCACTATCGCAAAAATCACCCGGTTGATTCGGGATCGAGCCTTCCTGCTACATCCCGATTCTTTGGTCAGGCATTCAGTCTCAATCTATTTATCTGATCTCGCACTCTGCATTTCCCTCCTACCGGCCAACTGGATATTTCTTTCCCTCCGACAATCCGTTTTTGTCGCAGTGAACTCAGAGCGGAACAATCACAGCACGATAACCTACTGGGCGAGGAATCCGTGCGTACTTGTGATGGCTGCATAAGTCCCTTCAGAGTCAAATCTAAAACTCCAAAGGAATCGAAGCCAGCGGAGTGCCCGATTTCCGTGCTCAGATGCGGCCTCATTTATTTCTGGAATATTGTTCTCCGGGAGGCTTCTCCTCACATTGTCTTCTGCAGGCCTACCATGGTATCTTTGCACCCAAGATTCTATAGTGAATACTCTGACATTCCCACACAAATCACCCGGTCGAGGGCTCGATGACCTTTTGCTTTTCTCATCCGGGGCATATATGCCCAAATCCTAACAGTTGAGAGACCGCGAGTAGTCCGTCTATGAAACGAATTTGCTCTAGGAGGCACGGCGTCTGGGCTCATCCTTACCACCAGTGCCGATGTTGAGGGAGGTCTTTCCGTCGCAATCTTCCTCTGCAGACCGAAACCCATCAAGCGATCAACATACGGGAACATCTCTCGCCGAGGACGCCGCCCACCTCCAGGGCCATTCACTCACTATCTGTTCTCGATTCACTGAATATCCGCACCCGGGCTGTGTAAACGGAAGCACTCCATGGAAAGGTAGATTGATACACCAAGCTTGAACTACTGTAACTAGGCTCGAATTCCGCAACGTGCCTGACTTTGTACTGGGCCAGCATTTTTTCCTGCAGCCAGACAAGCACGCAGCAAAGCTACGCATAATTACACCAGACACGGTCGGCAGAAGTAGATATTGAACCCTGCGATGTATATGCATCTATGTAATCATTATCCGCTCGCTAATCAAAATCAAAATCGAAGTCATTCAACATTACAGCGGTCTTTAGCTTCTTGGACAAGCACCGTGGCGTGGAACGTTTTTCGCAGTATCTTGAGAGCGTCCTCAAATGGTCTCTGCGTCCACCGATCCGTCCAATCCTCCTGCCGCTTGGTAACCATCTCCAGCAAACCGAAGGCCCTGACACACCTAATCGCCCGTTCGTCCATACCATCGAGGATACGCCAGTTCTTGAAACACCCGTCGATGATGTCAGCCAGCCGAATTGGTGGCCGGTGAAGATCGAGGTTGACGGGCCACTGAATATCAAGAACAATTGCCGCAGCAGCCTCCACTATTTTTGAATCCGTCGACATCTCGAGGGCCCATACAATCGCAGGTACTGCTTTGGATGGTGGAGGTATTTCATCGAAGAGGAGCGGGGGCTGCGGAGTCAGGGGGGGAGTCGGCCTATTGAACAAGGGAAGTAGAGGGGGGATAGTTTTAATGAAACGAGAGCACTCTGAGCCGCAACGTGAAATTACTCCGCCGACAGGCTCGGAAATCCTGCTCAGGAGACCTCCATTCGCCTGCCAAAATTTACGCAGAGTGTGGGTGATTGGAGTCAGTATTGCGTCCATGAGACGAGCCGCAAGTGACTTCTGGAATTTCATGAGCGCCGCCAGGAGAATGGTAAGCGGGGTTTGGAAGGGTGAACCCGGGGATGCGAGAGCCGAAATGACCATGTCACCGCGCTGTCCACAGATAGATGGACAGCGCGGTGGCAAAAGAGCAAGAGGGAGAGCTATAGGAGGAGTGGAAAGGTCTGCATGACCAGATGGAATTTCCACCGGAGCAAGCCGTCGAATTTGCGCTGGCGTTCGACCCCTTGCTCTCCCACCGAATCATAGTGGAGAAGCCACTGCTTGCCGAGAGCGGCCAGGAGCCCCGCAAGGAGCGTTGAGAATAGGCTGAAATATAGGAGGCTTTGAGCTACTATGATGATAGTGGGAGCCCCCAGCTGCCCCGGTGTGAGGCTCGAAACAGCAGCACCGGTCATATTCTGAACGAGAACCATAAGGGCCTGCGTCGCCGCATTGGGATCCGGCTGAAGCTCGGGCTAGATCTGGATAATGAACGAGGAACTAACAGCGGAGAACAGCCCCGCCTGGGTGTTGAGAAGATTAGAAGACACAGGTGGGGTTGGAGATGGCCACGCACGAAAATTAATGAGGTACCCAAATCATTCCCGTACTTGCGCTGAAATTCCTTGTCGAACTCGTCCGCCAGTTTCCCATACACCGTCCAAAATGCCGTCTTCTTATCGCGGGACTCCGACTGCAGCTACTGTTTTAGCCTTTGAACTGCTGTATTCAATCTTCTCATTCATTCGCCCCGCAGTGAAATAGTGAGTCCAAATATATTACCTTTGCAGCGTGGCAGTCAAAGTGCCCCTGACCGAGCCATACATCGAGCGCGAATCTGTGTCCAGGCACACGCGGTCATCCACGAGCGCACGGGGCGGGGATCAATTCGCGTATGTGTGTGCCAGGTGAAGAGAGAACAGGGAGACGGATCGGGGAGGGCGTAATTCGTGTACACATGGACGATGTTCCAGAGAGTCAAAAATAATTGACGGAACACGACTTCATGACGATCCGGGTAGCTTATCATTGGAGGCCTGTCCGCGAACCAGATGCTAGTAGGCAGCGCGCTTGAGGGAGGAGATTCGGTAGATGCGTGTGGAGCGACGGAAGGAAGGAAAATGCAGACCAGGAGCACACA